CAAAATGTCCTGGATTCGCCCCTGACGTGAAATTTTTAACCTTTTTTCTAATCGGTTGTTGTCATTACTTTTGTCTTGTTTGTACGAAACCTAATGGAAACCTGCTCTTAATAGTTGAATGTTTTCTTTTTTTTTTTTCTGTTGCGTGCGTTTTTTTCCAGTGGCAGAGGCACGCCCGTGGAAGAATGGCTGTAGATTGAGACGTCTTAGTGCACCACATGAGGCGTGAGTTGATACGGTTAGAAAGACTTATCTGCATGCAGTTTTCCTCACGCTTGAAAGAATAGAACCGTACCTCGAGGAGTGGTCCCGTGAGCCTAATGTTACCAGACAACGAATCTCACCACGGCCGCTGACCGAGTGGAGCCCCGAGCGTTTGAAGAACTTTTTGAAATCCAATATGGCCAAAGGCTTTCAATGAACTTTTAACAGGCAAATGGAAGTTTAAAGTTAATATCGACGCCGTAGACGTAGTTGCCTTCTCTGTTGTGGTGAAAAAATAGGTTGCAAGGTGCACCTAGAATTTCGTCATCGGTTTCATGCAAATAGAATCTCAGATATCAAACTTTTGTAAGTGTTTGTTACTTTTCTAAGTTGAATTTCAGTGAAGGTCTGACCGCCTCGGCATTGATACATTCCCTACTTGTTTTGTAAGAGCAAATAACCTTGAAGTGTTTGCCAGCTTGTTGGCTGATGTTTGGGAGCGCCGGATATGTCAAAGACTTCTGCGAGCGAGAAGGCCATTCCTCAGCTATGACTACTACAGGGCCATCTTTCCCGTGTTCGTGCTCGAACCGAACTAAATGCATACATCTGTAACTCTGTATTGGTGTAGCTTTCCCATGAAGAATTGCAGACTTTATGCGAGAATCCCGCCATGACTTTTTTTCTCTCCACGTTGAGGATTTCCTATCCGCGAGATCTTTGCAGGAAGTCTGACGTTTCTGCGACATTAGGTCTCTTTAAAACAAATTCTCTGTAGAAATAGCGTTAATTATTATTTCTTTAGCTGGGAGAATTCTGTGAGAACACTGAAACTCGTCAATGAACTTTACAAATTAATTTAAGGCAGCCAGTGAATCTACAGGTTTTTTAGCTTTTCGCATCGGACGAAAGCCTAGACAGCGCAGTATTGTTTATCACTGTGAATTTTGATAAGATCTACTGAAGAAGCAACCTTTACCTTCGCTTTTCATAATAGTTTCCTTGGAAACAAGCCCTGGAAGACTTCGGTTGCCACGTGATTTGACAGCAGTCCGGCAGGTGGCGAATCCTATTTAAATTCAAACTCAAATTTGTCTATTTGCGTAGGTGGTTGGATTTGTAATTTGCATGCTCATCAAAGATTCCTCTGTTTACAGAATCATTGTTTAAATTAAACGGAGAAAGAATTCTTTAATGAGCGATCACTTGAGCAGCCGTACCCTGAGCTTAAGCCATAACAAGAAATTTAGGTTTATCTTTCTGTTTTGTCATCTGAACAAAAAATTTCCGATCACTTTTTCACTCGGAAAAGATATTCTGATCAGATAGGTTTTGGTCTGGGTGACGCTAAATTGTCCTACTTTTTTCCGAAGAAGAAAGGGTAGTTTGATTAAATCGATATTTTAAACTGTCTCTTGGCTGATCGAATTTTTTTAACGGATATTATGAGGGATTTCACGGCCGCCGGAGGCGAGACAAACTCCTCTGTGATACGATAATTTCCTCGATGAAGATGAGTTTAGCTGTGGCTTTTACTCGGTACTTTGAATTCGTAGTGCAATCATTCTCGTGTTTGACTATAACTATGACAATACTGAATCTTTATTGGCTTGGTTTCATTTCCCTATGTTTCTGAGAGCCGTATTGTCTAATACAAAGTCGAAAACTGTATTACTTTGGTTGTGTCTTGTTGTTAAGGCAACGAACCCGAATTTAATCTGCGCCTTGTAGAACGGTTTTTAAAATTTCATTGTTCTAGTAAAAGTATCCTGTTAAGTACCTTGCGTCAGGCCGGTAGTAACAGCCTTTCGGATGATATTGTTACAGGCAGGCGTACCTAGTTAATGTATAGCGAGAGTAGGTTTTGAAACATTTAAGGGGAAGTAAAAGAGGAAAAACGATATGATTATTAAAGGAAAGTTGCCGAAGACCAATGAAAACCAGATGGGTTGTTTATGGGGCTTTTTCTTGCATTCATTTAATGTAATGCTCTGGAGGCCAATCAAAACGTTTTTATCTTATTTGATCCGTTTGCCCACCGGCTGAGTGTGCGAAAGAAAAATTGGGATCTAGAAGCAGCATGGCAGTCCGCACGGCATAACAGAAATTTCTCCGAAAAAAAAAAACAAAAAAAAGAAAAAACAGTGAAACAAAATGGGCTTCTTCTCATAAGAACACACTAAAAAGACAAATCATCGATAAGGGATTCCGCTTGGGGCAAGGGTAAAGGTTTATTGCACAGATTTCATGAACAAAACTTAACAGGTTCGCTAAGAGTGAGACACTTCGTTTGTCACAACAAATCGCTTGTCTGCTGCAGGAGATAAATTATTCATCACATTCTTGGTTAGGAAACTCCACAAGCTCTCACGTCTGTCACAAATCAGTTCCTATACAGCAGCGTGATAGTGATATTATTTGCTTAAAAAAATAAATTTCAACTGAAATATTATTTGTGTTAGAAGTAAACAAAGCAAGGGATTTAGATAACACCCGGTCACATCCGGGGTACGTGGCCTGTCGTCATTTCCAAACAGTGAAGAGCAAAGGTGACCGTTGTTGACTGTGTTGCTATAGTGCGTTTATCTCGTTTGCTTTGCTTGGCACGGCCAACTAGGATCTTATCCTTCGCCGTGGTTGCATTTTGCAAGTAGTGTCTTAGTTTCTCAGGTGAGTGAAACCTATCGGAAAGAAAACGGACTCGACGGATTGTACAAGCTTAGCTTAGCTTACCTGTACAAATGTGAGTTCAATTCCCGAAATTTAAATTAGCTTTGACACGTCGAAGTCGACGGTGTTCACCTTTGCTTTCGCCATATTTTTTTCGAGCATGATATAATTTTCGGACTCTTTTCGAAATGAAGCTGTTACTAAGATATCTAAAACCCTTGGGCAGTTATGTAGCCTCCGATTTTGCACTTTTTTCCCGACAGACAGCGAAGTATGTATACTGATACAGAAGTACTTACATCTGCGGTGGTTAAAATTTCTGCTTGTAGATGATATGAATCGAGCCGGAACAACAGTTCCTTTCGTTTCAAAAAGAGTGTGGCAAAGCGGAATGGGGATGGAACAAAACGATCATTTCTACTTGGTTTACAATATTTATGAACTGTAATATTGAGGAAAAAGATTTACTCGAGCGCTGCTAGCATGAAATGACTAGGCATAATTTTTCCGTTGCAATCGTTAACGGTCCATCAACTTTTCAACAGATGACAGATTAACGACAAGCGATTATTTTTAACATTAACATGTAACCCGAAAATCCAAATTTCCGAACTTGACACTACATTTCCTAACGTGTAAAGAAGAATTTACATTTTGGTGAAATAATTACAGTAAAGGTTTTTCGTCTTTTGTTTTTATAATCCCTAAGTTTATTTTTGCAAGTAATTGCCACTCTTTTGTGTTCTCGCAGCTTTAAATTATTCCATTTCAATTTGACAGTGATTTACTTGGATAAACGTAAAGAAGATTTTTCTGTCAATCACAGAGTATTTTCTGCTTGAAGTTAAAACTTATTCATGATCTCGGTTGCCGTATAATTTTTAGGTTTATTTAGTGATTCCAAACAACTGATCAAGCTGTCACGTTTTAAAACGATGAAATTTTTCTTGAACCCGCTCGAACTAAAGGATTGAAAATACAGATTTACGAATACATTTTTTTTTCTTTTTTATATCTTCTATTTTATTCACTTTTTTCTGTCTGGAAGCGGACAAACTCATTGAAAATCAGTCATAAAATGTTACATCATTTTCAATCATGTGTTCCCATGGAAATGATAGAGGTTTATTTTTAGTCGAAGAACCAATTAAAATTGAGCGGTCATTGCTGGCTTATGTGATTCTAGAGAAAAGAAAGATAATTTAGAAATTATGAGCGCATCTTATGTTGGTAATTCGCTTCTTTTTTCTGTGTTGTCTAGTGTCATGAAGTTTTTCTTGAATTTTTTTCTTACACAGGAACGAACTTGTATCTGTGGAATGACCCAGTTGGCTCCTTGTTTTCTACTTAAAACGAACAACAACCCTTTGTCTAGTCGTCACGGAACGATTACGTAGAGGACGCCAACGAATTGCGAAATAAAATAAAGCTCATGAGAAACTTTCCAAACTCTGACACAACAACTCTTCCACGCATCTCGCAGATCGACTGTTTCCCTCAAAATCGCTTGAATCCGGACGAGTTTGAACAGAAACGAAGAGGAGATAAAATAGAAGAACACAAGAATCACATTATGGCCCAAACAGCAACCTTGAAAGAACAGGGCTTTGGCCGGCATGGTAAACGGACTAATTATACATCGGGGATCTTGCCTCCCATTTCGCAGATTTCCATGGGGGGAAGACAACTCCCTACGGAAGTGAGTCCTAGGGAAGAAGGCTTGAAGCTCCCTCCGATTTCCCAAGTGGCTTGTCTCGGGGGCTATCTCGATGAAAAACAGCTTGTTATGAAACAGTCCAAGTCTAGAATCAGGGACAGCGATTCCGAGTTTGTAAGACTTTCCAAAGCTGGTGGTCAGAAAAACCTATTGTGCTATACAGAGGCAGATTCCACGCCTCGCGGGCACGCCACGAACGCGAACACATTTCCACTCTCCACTCGTTATAACGCCGGGGTCACTTCAGAGGCGGACCCAAGATGGCGCCCATCGCATTGGTCCGACTTTTCGAGGCAGAAGCACGCGAGAAGCGATCATAGATTCATTTGGAGGTAGATTAACATGGTGGCTGAGTCATCCACGAACAAAGACTGAAAAAAAAGAACTTATTCATGGTTAACCTTAGTTTAAAATGTACAGATTAAAGTATAAACGAACTAAAACACAGATTTAGTGAGGGTATGTGTGATCAGATACAGTGTACTAGAAACCTCCTATATGATATACGTTGTAAATGGTCACATTTTAGTGGAATAGCTGCTATTTGTAGCCGAACAGACACATCTAATCTGAAAAAAAGGTCTTTGAAGAATTGCTTGGCTTTAAAAGCTGTTAAAAGTTGTTTTAAAAGTAGTTGAATTTATCATTCCTGTGTACATAGCAGACTGATTCCAGTCGTTTACCGATATTAAACGCTCGTTTTACGCGACAGCCTGAGCACTCCTTTGTTTTTCTATTTTTTTTTTCTTGTTTACATGTACTTTCTGTTTTTTACTTTGGTTTTTTTCTCTCAATTTACAGTCTGTTGTTTACTTCCAACTGAATAAATAAGCTTATTTAAACCGTGTAACAGAATAGCAACGCTGGGGTATTTTGGTAACTTACTTCGTTTTAAGACTAATCCACAGAACATTCCATTACAACAAGTTAAGGTGTCATTTTATTTTATTGACTCGGTAAGGTCACCACATTAACGGGAATTAATTGACTAAGGATAAAAAGTTTACAGGGTTTACATAGTTTTCTGGCGAAAGTAAACAGTTATTGCTTCCCTGATGACAAACGATTATTCTTAATATGTAAATCGCAACCATTTCTCAGATGAGTTTACTTATGTTTGGAAATATCGTAGAAATTCTTCATTTCTTCATGAGTGCATGAAGGAGATCGAAATGAATATCGATGAAGGAGATAAAATTTGGTAGAGCACATCTCGAATGAATTAGTTCAAAACCAAGTCAGAGTCGGATCTCAACAGCCAACCAGCCGAACAAAGGTGATATTACAATGGTATTCAAGGCCAAGCCTTATGGATAAAGGGTTTCTTAAGCAACCGCTCTCGAAGTGTCAGTGTAAACCGCGTACACTCTACCCCATGCAAGGTTATTTCAGGTGTTCCACAAGGGGTCTGTCTTAGGCCCCACGCTTTTCTTGATGTACATAAATGACATCGTGGGTGACATCAAGTCAAATATTAGACTCTTTGCTGACGACACCATTATGTGCCGACAGGTTCTATCGCCTGCGGATCATCTTATCCTTCAACAAG